TGCGAGTTTACTACTTCTAAAGGATTCAAGAGAGAGTAAGTAGCAGCCAGGTGCTGCTAATCAGATTCATTTAAATAACTGATCATCAGAAACTGTGAGCAACTCTGTAAAAGCAGAAATTTTGGCAGTTTGCTGGCCCCCGAGCATTCAGTTCAGGTGTGTATTAACACAATTACAAAATCTTTCCAGTTATGGTCATCACAACAACTTCAGACCATGCAATATTCAGATAAACGACAAAAAACCCAAGAGCTACATCTTACAGTCTACAGGCCCAGTTACCATGTGAAATTTTGAAGTTTGTGACAGGAAAATAAGAAAAAGACTGAACAAATACGGCTTGTTTGGAAGAGCTCCCAGAAGAAAGCCTCTTCTCTCTGAAAAGAACACAGCAGCACAGCTCAGGCTTGCAAAGTTGCATCAAGACTTCTGTGGAGACGTCTGACCATAATGCACAGCACAACATTTGGCACAAACCCAACACAGCTTATCTGAACAAACTCCTCACACCAGCTGTCAGCACGGTGGTGGAGGGCTGATGATTTGGACTTTGTCTTGCAGCCACCAACTCCTCTGTCTTCAAAGTATTCTAATCTGTTGTTAATCTATGTTGGTCAAAACTGCATCACGCAACATCCAAGCGCAGCAGCAAATCTACAACACAATGACTGAAAAGGAAAAAAAGAATCAAGTCGCTGTAATGACCCAGTCAAAGTCCAGACCTCAACCTTATGCTGTGCATAAATGAACAACAACAAATTTCAATGAATTGAAGCAGCATTGTGAAGAAGAGTGGGACAAAATTCTCAGATTTTTGGTTAGCATCCTCTGCTAATAGAAATGCAGCATAGTATAACAGATAATAGTTTTCTTTGCCTTTAGATAAGAAAAAATTCACAACAACATTTTTAGCAAATATGCTAACATTTCAACAAATATGCTATTAGCCTTATTGCTGATGATTACTGCAGAGCTGTAAATATGAGGAAGGTCAGAAGAGCAAAGCAAATTACAATCTCAGGCTCTTGGCATTTGCTCTATAACAGTAAACGACAAATTATAAAGTTAGGGGGGAATTTCCCTTAATGACTATTTATTTATCTATTATTTACTATATTTTTATTAACACTTAGAGAAATTGCCTGATCAGGGCTGTGTGGGTGAGATTTGATTAGCAGTGGCCTTAAAGCAACCCCACACCTGGCGTCATCTGTTGATTCAAGTATCATTAAATTCTGATTGGTGTATAACATAAAAAATGAATTTAAAAGCACTTTTTTCAGATGAACTGTGCCAGCTTCAAACCACTTGAATTTTGAATTAACCAGGACCTGGAACATGACTTCATTAAAAGGTACCGCGCCTATAATTCCCTACCTGGAAAGAGCAATCTCAGCCTTTTGCCGGGCGATATCTGCTGCCTTCTGCGCTCCCTCCACGGCTCGGTCCACCTTCTCCCTGATCTTACTGGCTCGGAGGGGGATCAGGTTCTTCCTCTTGCCGCTCACCAAAACGTTCTGCTTGTACTTCCCTTCCTCTTTTGTGCCATCAGGAAACGTGGTGCAGCCATAGCCGTGCCGCTTGTTGCTGAGCCACTCCCCTTCGTACTGCAGCCCGTCGGACCGCCGACTCACGCCGAATCCGGTCCGCTTGTCGTTCTTCCACTCCCCGCAGTAGGTCTCTGTTGCTGTGGCGTCCACATCGTCTTCAGCGACTGTCAGCTCTGTGTCTGCATCTCCAAGGCTGGAAAAGGTGAAAGGTTACATTAAAATAGTAAATAATCAATCATGGAAGGATCAAAAAATGTTGCTTTGTAAATAAGTTATATATAAGTTTAACCCCCAGCTGCTGTTAGTCACTGGGAAGATGTCATGTTAGGTGTTGGCTAGAGTTCACAAACGTCTATTAAAAAGTTGTTAAGGAAACAACTAATGATTAATTTAATCAATCCCCATATGTATTTAAAGGATATCATTAGGCTTCTTCCCATACACAGATCAATAGCTTAACTTTCTGTTGAGCTGCTGCACCTCACAAACAAAAGATCCGAACAGCGGATGCATGCGGGTTCTTAATCAATTTTTATTCATGGTCCATCAAAAGGTCACATGAAACAGCCAGAGCCAGACTTCTGTGCCACGGTGACTATAACTACTACTACCAGCCATCAGGTTACGAGGTGGCGACTCAACTCAAAATAAGCCGCCTCAATCCAGCATACCTGGAGTTTGACGCCAAGCACTTCCATGTAACATCTAAGCCAGATTAAGAAGCTGAAGTTCACGCAATGAATTAAATCGGCATTAAACGTCTCCTCAGGCACCGGTCCAGTGGACCAACATACTGACCTTTGACCTATAGTCTCCTTTGGAATGCATGCCAATCCATTTAAAGGCACTTAAGAAGAACAGGTGTTTGTTTTTTCCTTGAATCCCTGTCCTCCAAATGAAGGACAGGTCACTTCATAGTACGTCATTCCACTACCCTGCGACAGAGTTGATATCTGACTCACCACGTTGGACTAACCACGTTCCAAAGTCATTCCAGTCACAGTCTTTCAAAGCTAGACTTCCTCTTGCGTGAATTAAGAAATGAGACCACAGTAGGTGGTGTTATTTGTATGTTTTTGGGTGGATAGACTCATGTTTGATTGACATACTTTTCAAGTAAACATTGCTGTTGAGTTAAAATCCTGCCAGAATTTCTTAGAGTGTTAAATGTCTGACTTTTACAGTACATTTGAACTTTTCAGGGATAAATATATTAGATTGCATAACTAAAACATGACAACGATGATGGGTATCAGTATGATTACTGTGGAACTGGTCAAGGAAGGATCAGTTTTAGTTAACCAACACAGTATGCTGGATTTCTAAGGTTTATTTTTGGGCTTTTTGCCTTCATTTGATAGTTAAACAGTGTGGAGTAGACAGGAAAGAGGTTAGACTTGAACCCAGTCTGCTGCGTTCTAGTCATAAGGCATATGCATACCTGCTCAGCCAGTGAGCTAAACTGGTGCCCTAGTATACAGCGTGAAACAGACTTCAAACTAATGAAAAATTATGTTTGAGAACAAAAGGTTTGGCAGATTGCCCCAAATTTAGATGAAAACTATATGTGCAAAAAGGTCTTTGTGGGTCTTTTATATCTGGTATCCTGCAGCAGCCCAAACCTACCACCTCTATTGTCCACGTGCCATTACCTGATGGTAGAGTTGATATCAGATGCAGCAGAGGACACGGTACTCATGCCAGCTTCACTCCTGAATGAGCTCTGTTTAGACCTCTGGGAGGCCAAAGAGCTCCTGGACTCTGACTTCCTCAGCTTGAGACCTGACAGGATGGATCTTCGAAAAAGCCCGCCCTTCCTTTTCCCCTTCAGCAGCTCAGCCTCGCTGTGCGCCGTCAGCACAAAACCTCCCCGAGACACCGCGGGGCTGCTGCCGCTGCTGCCTGTGCTGCACATGGAGACGCTGGTGGTCAGCGTGCCGGGAAGGGGGGGAGGTCCAGGAACCACTGCCCCAGTCCGGTCCAGCAGAGCTGTCCCATTGCTGTGCTCTGAACCGGAGCGGAGAGAGTTTATGGAGGTACGAAGCGGGGAGCGGATAACGGC